CTGGATGAGAATCATTAATAAAAAATAAATACAATTTTCTTCAATGATTTAAAAAAAATTCCAGAGCCTAAACAAAAAAATTACAATAAACAAAGTGTATTTTCTCCTTCCTTTCAACATGGCTTCGTGGTGTACTGGTAGCGCACTCGGCGCGTATTCGATAGGTCCAGGCTCGAGTCTCTGTCCAGGAACCACCATTAGGTTATTTTGAGGCAGGAAACATGAAAAATGAGCAATGCCCTCACTGGAACTCGAACCTGGACCTCTCGAATACGCGCTGGTTGTGCTACCGTTACACCATGAAGGCATGTTAGAAGAAGGGAGAAAATATCTTATAAGTTAATAGAATTAATATTAAAATTGAATTCAAAAGAAACAAATATAACTTTAAATTAAAGGAAATTTGAGAGAAACGTGTTAGATATTAATGATTTTACAGGTAATTTGAGAGAAATGTGTTAGGAATTAGTGCAAATGATTATGTAGAATAATAAATAATAATAATGCAGAAATAGTATAGAGTTAACAAGATGGTAATTTTTTTAAAGTTTCCCTATGATGTTTCCCCAAAATTTCTAATACCGGAAAAAATAATAAATCTGATTGGAAGCAATTTTTTTTGAGAGAAATACGTGCAAAATTCCAAAATTAGTTCTTTTTTAGATAAAGATATTATTCTGGTTTTTCATACTAGAAATATGTTAAATTCTTACTAAAATAATTCTTAAATTAACATTATTAGCTTTTTAATTAACAAAATCAGTTATGGGCCAAAAATTTGGATGACGAGAGATTAACTGCTGATTTGCACTGATCAGGTAACGGTAAAAATAAAGTTCAGAAAGTAATCGCTCGAGTTCAGATTTGAAGTTAGGATAGAGGAAAAAAAAAAAAAAAAAAAAAAAAAAAAAAAAAAAAAAAAAAAACTACTGAACTCGATCTCAAACCGAATAAAAAATGTTAGCAAGTAACAGTGTGAAAGCAGTTTTTTGCTTAGATATCTGTATTGGTTAATGTTAATCTCTTCGTTTAGGTCTCTTGGGCAAACAGGTAAGATGAGCACACCATACAGTCACATAATCAGAATGCAAAAGGTAAGTGAGTGCACAGCTTCCGACCACGGACATGAACCAAACGGAATTCTATACCATCACAGCGGGGAAGGCTCCAAAGTAACAAGGTTGAATATTACATACTAATAACAGTTTTTACATATTGATAACTGCAGGCACTAAGCGTTTATTCTGGTTATCTGGTTTAAGTTCTGAACATTTGAAACATAATATTATTCACGGTTGTTTCTGCTTAGGCAGTGTCTTGAGATTCTCTCTATTTTATCAAGGGCTATTCTGTTTTTGAGTGTGTTGGACGTCCACATTGCCCAGGCAATGTCCGCTGGTTTCTTCAAGTGCCAGGTTCTTGTATGTACACTATGGAAGTAATAATGGTCCGTGTCGCCTTCCTCTCCGCATTCGCAGAAAGGCGTATCCCTAAGTCTGAATCTGTTCAGGTATACTGGGAATGGTCCATGACCTGTTAAGAACTGTGTTAGGTTAGCACAGTGGGTCTTTATTTCCATATTAACTTTTGGCAATAAGCGAAATGTGCTTCGTCCTACCTCTGCCTCTGTCCTTCTACTTTGCCAATTCTGTAGTAGACTTGTCAAAGTTGTTCGCTTAATATGAGACCAAGGAAGTTTAGTTGGTCTTTCTAATATATCTGTGCTGTTGGCTGCCTGCTTGGCCAGTAGGTCAGCGGCTTCATTGTCTTGAACCCCTTTGTGAGCGGGAACCCATTTTAAAGTGGATCTTTGCAAAATAGGCATTGTCAGAAGCTGTTTCTGAATTCGGTATACCAAAGGACTCCGGCTGTTTTGATTTGCGATAGCCGCCAGACTTGATGCCGAATCACTGAGTATGGAGAATTTCTCCTGTTGACATGTGTTCGCATATCTAATTGTAGCACTGATATCTAGAAGCTCTGCTTGGTATACCGAGTTGTTCAAGCCTAGTTTCCTTTTCCACTCGAATGTTACAACTCCATTTTCCAATCTACAGAAGGCGCTGCCCGTGCCATTCCCAGTTTTGGAGCCATCTGTGAAAAGGTTATTACTGTTCCTCTGAATTGGTTGGTCGTTTATGCTGATACCGTCGGAGAGATTAAAAGCTGCTGGAGGAAAGTTTTGTTTCTCGTAGTCCGAGTGGTGATAACTATCACCCCAAAGTGTTGAAGTTTGACCCAGCCTGGTAACTCTTACGATAGCTGCCTCTCTTTCTACTATCAAATCTAGGGGAGGAATTCCTGCCAGTTCTTGTAGGGCTAGTGTTGACGTGGTACGGTAAGCCCTGCATACTTGAAGTAGCTGATGTCTCTTTGTCGAAGAATACCGGGAACGTAAATTTCTGGCTCTTCAATGTGCCATCACCAGGTGTTCGAAATTTGAACTATTATTTTTAATAACAATTTTCTTTTCCTCATGATCCATACAACGTATATACCAAATATCAACGAAATACGCCAACCAGAAGGAGCTCTGCACAAGTTCGGCGAGAATCGATTCAATTATAACCATCTTCTATTTACAAAATTTCCACTGTTATCTGCACCGAATTAGCAGATAATAAAGTAACTAATTACATAAGCATACATGCATTTCGCGATAATTAAAAAAATATGAGATTGACACCGCATGACTTCCTTGTACGGTCTGTTAAATATTCATTTTAGAACAGCAATAAAATGTTATTAAATATCGTTAGCTATTTACAAGAATAAACTGACATTAAAAATTGCTAGATATTTATTGTTAGACTAACTACGCAGATAAACTGCTATTATATATGGAGTTAGATTTCATTATTTGACGAAAGCTAATTTTTTAAAGTTTAATATTGCCAAATCATGAATATTTGCATCATTTAAAACACTTCTGAAACTACGATGATCAGTGATTGGGAAAATGAATGCTGGGTAAGGGCTTTTAAGAAACGTAAGGGATGAGTATATGTATATATGTTACTGTGAAAGACCGAAATTGGAGAACGTCGACTTTCACCGGAGAATGTCAACATTCACCAAATACGTCGGTGAAACATCGAATATTGCACTACATTCTTGTACATTCGGATCCTCACCGGTGTATGTCGACAATCACAGATATGCTCTGGTGTAAGTCGAAAAGAGAGGTCATAAAGTGCCATAATAGTTTAAGTTGTTGCAATAAATAAGATTAGAGTCACATAATTTAGTAAGTTTTTTATTACCGTTATTTTATTTTCTCATTTAGAACATACTGTATAATTAAGTAAGTTTTTAACTTCTAATTATTTTCCTTTCTCATTTTGAATATATTGTGTTTTTTAAGTTCTTATGTTCTTAAGTTCTTATTTTAAGTCTCAAGTGCGTTTTTTCGCGACTGAATGACGGAGAAGAAAATATAATATTGTTATATGTTCAACATTCACCATTAGTACATGGTGAATGTCGACATTGATCGGTGTAAGGTCAGAAAAAAGAGTATTTTGAAAGTATTTCGGACATACACCAAGCGACTATGTGAATGTTGACATTCACTGGTGAAAGTCGATATTCTCCAGATTTCGGTATTTCACCGTAACATATGTTTACGTTTGGGTACCGCAGGTTACAATAAAAAAAAGGAGATACACATTTTATAGGTGTTCCGTACACAAAATGGCAACATTCGACAGCTAACCGCTCTTGAATTATGAGAAATACATATATACAAACGTGGACACGTACGCACAGACGTCACGAAAAAGTCGCATTTGAAACCATTTTAAATCCATTTTACAATCAGTTTTGGAAAAACCCGTCATTTATCCTATGAGTACATACAAATGCCGTGTAAAAAATCGTCCAAATGGATTCGGGAACTGTCAAAATAGACTTTTGGCTGAAATATGATACGCGAAATTTTTTGCTATTACAATACTTCCTTTACTTCTTTCAAGAAAGTAAAGAAGAGAAATACAAAATTACTATAAAACAAAGCATAAAACGAAGAATAAATAGAAGCAGAAACCACACGGATGCAAAGTGAATATGTGTGTGTGTGGTGTGTTATTATGGCAAAGCCTCGAGGGCTATCTGCCTAAGGGGAGGGATGCCTTCGTGAAGGACTTTCTAAGGGAAACTGGCTCGTATACACGTTACACATGGGGAAAACCACGAAAACGCCCATGCAGCCAGCCCGTTCGCGGGATTCGAACCTCGGACCGAACTACCAGTGTTCAGCGACTTTACCGCTCGGCCGCTGGTGGGCCTCAAAGTGAATATGAAAAACACGAAAAAAATACAATATCAAAACATGTTTACGAAATTTTGCAGCAATAGTTTTCTATCAACCTATATATGAGGCAAGTTTTCTAGAAATTTATTTTTGAAAGCAATCTTTCCCAAGCACAAAAATTTTTCTTAGATTAAGATAATAAATCTAATTAAGAGAGAGAGATTTGATTATTGGACATAATGACAGGAATGATACAGGGAGTTCTTTCCTGTGGTCTTGATTACCGATGCGCTTGCAAATTTGTGTTTCCATTTAAATGTTAGATTTGCACATTACATCATGGCGAATTAAATTATAATTGGTAAGATTTCTATGATAGGAAAGATAGATATGATTATAATATAACTAATTTTGGACGGTAAGAAATCCCTTAATTTTTATGGCTTTTTTTTTCGTATGATATATCAAACAGAATTAGAAAGAAAATTATGGATTCGACGGCAGTTTTAGAAACACTTTTCTCTCATTTATTTTAAGAAAAACGAAAATTCTACTATTAAAATGTGCCATTTACCTGTATGTGTCTCGGTTAATACTTTTATTTCTGCAACTATTTAAACTTTTAGATGCCCATTTGCGAGCAACATCTGAATATAGATGGCGCTGCCACAGAGCATCTCTGTCCGGATGCGATGTGTCCAAGGCAACATCCCAGTCGAATCGATTCGCACGCATAACATCTCCCTCATCCACGTCTAAGCACGCGCCTTTATAAACTTATAAATAAAAACACTTTTGCGTTGAGGTTTCCTGCATTTCTGGGTCACCAATACGTTTCACACTGACTAACACAAATTTTCAAACAAAATTACCGACTTTGCATAGATTTTGCAATTCCCTGTTCGGAGTTTTGAATGATGCGGCATTTTCCGGCGTACGTCTTAGACGTAATATTTGTGCTACCTCTGATATTTGGGGCAGGTAAGTTGCAATTCACTTCATTATGCATGAGTTTCGTTCCGTCGTTTCGAATGACGTCGCGCGTTTTCGGATTTTTATTTCGATTTTACAACGATTCAACAAATTCTGGAGTTAGTGGTAAAGATATCCGATTCTGACAGAAACACATGTTTTAAACATTTAAAAACTGGTAATATTTTTTCGTAATTTTAAAGTTTTCTTTGCATGTTTGTACTTGTGTTTACTTAAGTTTAATTTCATTTCTATGTGTCATATCAAAAAAAAAAAAAAAAAAAAAAAAAAAAAAAAAAATCTGAAATGTTTCAGATTTTAAATTACGTCCAAAGGGGCGTTTTTTAACATTTTGTGTGTTACCTTTCTTTATTAAATATCATGTTCCTCGCACTTAAACCATAAGATCCAGTGCAACAGCAATATCGCAAAATAGTTTTAAAACGAGCATATCTTTAGAATTTCCGATACAGAGACTCAAGCGCTGGAGATAAAAATGTTTTTCTGCACAACGTTGCCATTGCTCGCCTTTGAAATCCTTGAGTTTGTTAATCAAAAATTCGTCAAAGTTTTAAAAAAATAGGAAATCGATCATAAAACAAATTTCAAATTTCAAATTTGGTCTTCCACATGCTCATATTCGTTGGAGGATTACGTTATTCAAAATTCGATGACTCTATGTACCGTTGTTTTATCACAATACGAGAAATATACATACATTTATGCAGATTTTTCATTATTTAATTTCTTCAAATATAATGCAGGACTCTAACATTTTGTGGCAACAGTTTGAAAAGTGAACCGACATTTATGAGTCCGACGCAAAATGCCAAAATGAAACTAATAGTCCTTCGGGATTCAAATCCCTTTGGACTAAAAATATATTGAAAACTTCTAATATTGCGTACTTGAAAGCAGTAGAATGTTTCAAAGCGTTTGTTAATTTCAGCAACCGCTTTATGAAATTTTAACGAATTTGGCATACAACAGATGTAGTATGCAGATTTGTTTTTGGCTTTCCAGGCTCTAAGATTTTACACAAGCGTGGGAATTTAGGAGGATTCAATCTTATTGCTATACGAAAGGAAATTTGAAGAGAACAGAGAAAGAAACTGGGAGAAAAGAATGATTCGATAGAAGTGAGAACAAAAGAGGAGGAACTGCGAAAATGCGTATCAGGAAACTGGCTTTTGTTCGCTCCAACGAGTCATAAAAAAGCGCAAAGGTAAAATTGAATGAAATTTCACTCAAGATGGAATTTTTTAATAGGATACTTTCCAATTTAGCTAGTTAAAGGTAATACTACGAAATGATATTTTTAAAAATGTTTTCTCCTTCAGAATCGTGAATGTGACTATAAAAATGCATTCAGACATTAATGAAACATATGATACATATAAGAGTAGGAAATAATTTACACTCGTATTTTAACATATGACTTGAGATAATAATCCACTTGCTGATTAATATAAGATTTGATATTTTAATTGATTTATTTTTAATTTATTGATTACAAAACCGTATCATACGTCATCGCGTACATGCAATAAAATAACACTAGTACGTTTCTGTAATTTTGTTACTATAATTTAGCTTTTCTGTTTTTTTTTTTTTTTTTTTTTTTTTTTTTTTCAGAGAGAGCCCACCAGCGGCCGAGCGGTAAAGTCGCTGAACACTGGTAGCTCGGTCCGAGGTTCGAATCTCGCGAACGGGCTGGCTGCATGGGCGTTTTCGTGGTTTTCCCCATGTGTAACGTGTATACGAGCCAGTTTCCCTTAGAAAGTCCTCCACGAAGGCATTCCTCCCTTTAGGCAGATAGCCCTCGTGTGCTTTGCCATAATTAAATACACCTACACCTGTTTTTTCAGAGATTAAAATTTTAGACCGCAATCTGGAAATATGTAATTAGATTTTGTTTCTTAGTAGCAAGAGATTTAGAATACAGTTTAGGAAAAAACAGAAAGTAGGAAATTCTTTTTAGTAGCGCAAGAAATATTAGAAAGTCTAGACACGTTTGGTTATTTTCAGTATCTGTTTCTGAAACTGAATATGACGTGCTACTCTCATGAAAGTTTGAGAAATAATTAAGTTATGGAAAGGATTGAAATATAAATAAGCATAAGGTTAAAGAAAACGGGCAAAATGCATGAAAGCAGCTGTCACGAAAACGTAATAATAAGTGATTAAATATAAACACAGTGAATACGATCGATTTAACCATTCATTTTACTTTCCTAGACTTAAAGAAGTACGCATTTGTGTAAAAATAATTTTTCTAGCTACACTTAGATTCTATTTCATAGTATGACGAGTATATTAATGGAAAATCAAGTCGGAGGCTTATCAATGTAAAGGGTTAAGGCCATGAAGCATTGGTAATTCAACTACTTTGAAGTCTTGAACAACCGTCTGGCTAAATGGGCAATTTTGTGGTTTTTCCATGTGTAATATGAATACAAACCAGTTTCCCTTAGAAAGTCCGCCGTGGAGGCACCCGTTACTTTAGGCAGGATAGCCCTCATCTCTTTTGGCACGATTGATAAACAAAAGAAGTATCTAATTAAGTCACAGTAGCTAACAAAATTTAGAAATTGCTTTAACTGTTATTTGAAAGTACAAATAATCAAAAGTTAACTGTCGATATTCAATCCGCAGACAAATGACCGCAATATGTTTCTGCAGTCTAGAAGTTTTGTACTCAAATTCTATTTGGATCCTGCTGATTATTTATATTCATTGAGCAAGCCACCAATTCGTTTGTGGCTTTGCAAATAAATGAAAAGTGTTTGTTTGGCTATCTTTAGGGCTCACAGTATATAAAGTATTTCATATTAATCTTAATAAAAAGTATTTTATATGAAAAAAAGAATTTTATGACAAAAAATAAATTTCTATTCTATTTTATTTTACATTTATTCAGCCAGTGGTCTGTATTTAGTTGGTCTTAATACAACTTTTCATATTATTAATATTTAAAATTTCAGTTAGAAATGCAACTTGGAATATCATCGTATAAATTAATATCATTATCCTTCATAAATTACGCACATTTGTAGAGTTATTAAGTTTTTTTTTTTTGAAGCAGAAGAAATGAAAAACGTACAATATTCTCGTTGGGGCTCGAATCCTGGAACTTTCGACTACACGGTGCATATACTTTCAATTACATCACCAAGACACTCGGAAATCAGGGAGAAAATACTTTACTTTCAATAGACATAGTATTTAATTTATTGGATTTAACTATCTAAACAAATGAAATATTTTCCATAATTATTCTTACAACAAAATATTTAAATGACAGTCAAATATAAATTTTTGATATCAGCTACGAAGAAAAGACTGCATCTTTACAAGTTGAATATTGAAATCGGGGCTACGAATAGTCAGAAACTAGAAGGAAATAAAGAATTGTTTATTTTTTGAATGAATTTCTCATTCTAATACCAAAATTTTACCTATACTCATAGAGAGGAAATTGGAAAAATATGCAGAATGTAGAATTTTCCTATCCGTTTCAGTAATACTACTGAAAAAAACGTGTTATTGCAAATCATAATCTTATACTACATTTCACAGAATGTTTGCTCTGCTTTTCATACAAAAAGAAATATATTTCATAGCGATATTAAGAATTCTTTCTTGATTCTGTTTCTGTCCTGAATCGAAACTAAATTTTTACCATCTTTGCAATACTGTTATTGTTCTAAAGAGAAATTTAATACTAATGAAGCTCTTAATGGATTGCTTTGATTTTGAAGAAAAACTGCAATTAAAGTTAATAGCGAAATACTTGTATTAGTTCAAAAAGTAAACGATTTTGTTTATTCTGTTAGTTTAGTTCCAATTCGGGAGCAATATCAAAAACGCCGGCCAAAATATGATACAATTTCCCTAGACGCAATGCATATGACATTTCAAACCGCCGCACGAAACGTGAGCATTGCTCATAATGCGTTGAGTGAAAAAATGCATTGTTGCCAGTACATTTCGTTTGAGTGAAAAGACTAACAAATATGTTGTTAAAATAGATATAAATGTTTACCTCTTTTCACTGATAATTGCCAGAAGTTTAGATTAAACTTAAGATTTTATACTTGTAGTTTTATTTTCTTTAGATAATCAATAAAAGAAATATGAGGTCTCTATTTTATTTTAATATTTTTGCCTTTTTCCCAGTGTTCAGTCAGGCATAGATGAGAAATGACGATTTATGAAACCACGTACTTTTAAAAGAAACATCTCTCCGTATCCATCCCTAATTGAAATTTATTTGAAATAATAAGAAATATAAATAAAATAATGTATGACTTTTACACCTAATACTTTTGGGCACTTAAGTCAAGGTAAAATAGGAGATAAATGTGGAAATCATGAGAAATACATAACACAATAAATAAAATAAATATTTCGAAGTCAAAAGAATAAGTAATTAGATAAAGATTTAGTTTATTTGATTATAGCAAAGCACTCAGGGTTTTTTGCTTAAAAGAAAGAAAGCCTTCACGGAGGACGTTCTAAGGGAAAGTGATTCACACATGGGAAAACTACAAAAACGCCCATGCAGCCAACCTATTCACAGGATACGAACCTCTGGCCGAACTACCAGTGTTAACGATTTTACCACTCGGTCCCAGGTAGGCGCAAAAATAATATAGGGAACAAAGTTATACTATAGAGCTTATTAGGTTATTTAGGAGTGAGAAACGTGAAAAAATCTTCAAAGCCGTAGCCGGGATTCGAACTCGACCTCCCAATTACTAACCAGACGTGCTTCCACTTATACCATAGAGGAATGCAGCAAGAACGGAGAAAATACCTTACAACAACGCAATAAATTATTTTAACTAAAATTTTGCAATTATGAATTGAATCTTAGATCTTCATTTATCATGCTTTGCTTTAAACGGCCTCCGCTTTAGCCGCTATATTGTTCTCAAAGTAATTTTCAAGCGTCAAGATTTTTGTTGATAATTTTAAGAAAATATGCTATGCAAAATCAGGGAAAC